TAATTATGACATCTTATCTCGTAATTATGAGATCAGGATCTCGTAATTACGACAGCTCGTATGAGATCAGGATCTCGTAATTACGACAGCTCATATGAGATCAGGATTTCGTATTACGACAGCTCGTATGAGATCAGGATCTTGTAATTATGACATCTTATCTCGTATGAGATCAGGATCTCGTAATTATGACATCTTATCTCGTAATTATGAGATCAGGATCTCCTAGTTATGACATCTTTTCTCGTAATTATGAGATCAGGACCTCGTAATTACGACAGCTCGTATGAGATCAGGATCTCGTAATTACGACAGCTCATATGAGATCAGGATTTCGTAAATATGACATCTTATCTCGTAATTATGAGATCAGCATTTRGTAATTACGACAGCTCGTATGAGATCAGGATCTCGTAATCATGACATCTTATCTCGTATGAGATCAGGATCTCGTAATTATGACATCTTATCTCGTAATTATGAGATTAGGATCTCGTAATCATGACATCTTATCTCATAATTATGAGATCAGGATCTCGTAATTATGACATCTTATCTCGTAATTATGAGATCAGGATCTCGTAATTACGATAGCTCGTATGAGATCAGGACCTCGAAATTATGACATCTTATCTCGTATGAGATCAGTATCTCGTAATTATGACATCTTATCTCGTAATTATGAGATCAGGACCTGGTAATTACGACAGCTCTAATGAGATCAGGATCTCGTATTTATGACATCTTATCTCTTAATTATGAGATCAGGATCTCGTAATTATGACATCTTATCTCGTAATTATGAGATCAGGATCTCGTAATTATGACATCTTATCTCGTAATTATGAGATCAGGATCTCGTAATTATGACGTCTCGTAAATATGAGATCAGGATCTCGTAATTATGAAATTTTATCTCATAATCATGTGATCAGGATCTCGTAATTATGACAGCTTGTATGAGATCAGGATCTCGTAATTATGACATCTTATCTTTTAGATCAGGATCTCGTAATTATGACATATTGTAATAATGAGATCAGGATCTCGTAATTATGACATCTTATCTCGTATGAGATCAGGATCTCGTAATTATGACATCTTATCTCGTATGAGATCAGGATCTCATAAATATGACATCTTATCTCATAATTATGAGATCAGGATTTTGTAATTATGACATCTTATCTCGTAATTATGAAATCAGGATCTCGTAATTATGACAGCTCACATGAGATCAGGATTTCATAAATATGACATCTTATCTCCTAATTCTGAGATCAGGTTCTCGTAATTATGACATTTATCTCGTAATTATGTGATTTGGATCTCGTATTTATCTTTTCTCATAATTATGAGATATTTTCTCATCTCATAATTATGAGATCTTTTCTCGTAATTAAGAGATCTTTTCTCGTAAATATGAGATAATATCTCATATTTTCTTCCAKGTTTTAAGGAGTTATTTTAAGTTTTCTTTTTATACAGTATGGTGATGTCAACAATTGATTTAAAACGGCTCAAGGGTTCCTTTCTTTGGCCCTAGGGCTATCTTTAATTCATGTMTACTAATTTGTAGTTGACATGCTAATCGATCTTCATGACAACAGATGTAAAAGCTTTTAGAAAGGAATTTCCTGAGATCAAAAACCTCCACTGAATCACTTAAACAGGTTCAAACAACCATCCCTAATGACTGATCAGTTTTAGACATGAAATATCTGTTAAACAGGAGAGGTTGCTGAGAAGATGATGTCACAACAAAGGTTAACTGAGCACAAGTGTAGATGATTGAAAGCTTCAAATGATAAATGAATTAATTGATGTTAGCCACTAAGAACATGAAAGTAAACAATTTTTATTGAAATTGTAGGTCATGTCACACTCAGCATGTGCCTTTAGACAATGGAGTGGTAACATTGTCCCACAGCTGCCACACTCAGTACATTTCCATGAAGTTAGATTAGGCAACATAGTGTGGACAGGCCACTTTATGAAGCTACTGTTGCTGCACAAGTACAAAAGTATTCAACCACAGAAATCCTGCTTAATAGCTGGCAGTTGAGTTCTTGAAGGCCTTTTCTGATTGGCCAAGTCAAAAACAATTCGCTGGTGAAAAATCATTATCATACTGAAGTGTAAGAGCGGAAAGCTTTACAACTCTGTGCATTTTATCAGCGGTGGAAACTTGTAGGTTTTGCCATGTTGTTGTTAGAAATTGTGTTTTTGATTTGTCTTTTCTTGTGCTTCTCCTCTTACCTCAGATCCAAAGCCTTCAGCAAGGACTTGTGGTATTTGTGCAGAGTGCTTAGGCCAATTTAGCTCCTAATAAATATTTAAATACAGAAAAAAATTCAACTCTCAACCACACTGACAACACGTGGTTATTCAACTAAACTAAATGCAAAAAAGCAAACAAGGTTGCAGGTACATTTATATATGTTAAGTTTCTTAATCATTTTGTTAATACTGATTACTACAAATAAAAATAATACCAACAATAACTGACCCGATGATTCAGCAACTAGTTTTCTTTATAAGTGATATGAGAAAATTCAGGTCTAGTTTCTACTATATAAACAAAATAATTTAAAACATCATATTATTAGAATACGCCCTCTAACATCTGGCTCAGTGTTCGCTTTTCAAAAGCAATGTCTGTCAATCTGTAGATGAGCTGCACAGCAGCAGCTCCAGCAAAGAGCATCAAGTTCTGTCATGAACTCAGTGACCTGCAGTAGCAATCACAGCCGCTGGATGGTGACAAACTGCATCAATGTCTCCCTGAAAACTGAACTTGGTCTCTGGAAGACCAGAATAACTCTCAAATTACATTTTGGCCTTTGAAAACAGCAACATGGAGGACAAGCACTTCAAAGTTTCAGCTCCACTGGCTGAGGACACTCGACTGTGGACTCCCTGTTGACAGATGGACTGGGAGCAGGGAAGACAAGCAGATGTTTGAGGACCAGCAGATGTTTTGGTTTTCGAAGTACAGACCTAACAGCATCCATGCTGTCACAGGCTACGACACTGAGAGGCTGAACAGAGAAAAACAGGGAATAGGGAGGGGATGAGTAAAAACGGGAATGTAAGCAGAGAACAGACATAATAAGGAAAACAAGAAAAGGGAGGGAGTTTCAGAGAAAGTGAGAGTAAGCACAACACTGGGGAGCAGGAGGATGGGGGTGGYGGACTCCGATAGGGGAGGGAGAGTGGTTTTATCCTCATGTGCACTCACTTAGAGGGGTCAGTGAGTGCAACTGTTCTTCCCCAGCCTGTCACAACAGCGTGGCTATCACAATGCATATTCATCTCCGTCACTCTGAACTGCAACACATGCAGGCTAAATGCAAACACYCAGGACATCTGCAGACGCTTCTGCTCTCATTAAATCATCAGCAACAACATAACAGCAGCATAAACAGTCCTTTTACTGACCTGCGTCACAGCACCACCATCATCCGCCGTGTTTGGGTTTGAGCTGCYTCAGAAACACAGCAAAGTGAAACAACTGTTGAATTAAAGGGCTAGACTTGTCCTGAAGAGAATCTGTCTTACCAGGTGAAGGAGGGAAGGTGTGCAGGTCAGTGCAGAGAGGATGTCCATGCCGAGCCAGCAGTGTCTTCTTTCCCATGTAGCGCACGTACTGCAGAGGCCAGGGAGAGGGACAGTCAACCACATGGCAGAGACACATGCAGAGAGCGTGAGGAAAGCTGGGGGGGAGGGACAGGCACTGAACAGGAAAAGGTACAAGAGTGAAAGTGTGAAAAACACAGGGCACTTTAAAGGGTGGGAGAGGGCAAATGAGCAGCTAACTGAAGGAAGAGAGAAAGAGAATCGTTTGGAGGCTGAACTTGTTGTTGAGTTTAGAGCCGTAGGGTAGGAGTGTTCAGCACGCACAGAAGAACAGCACCATTATTCTGTTTTTGGTGGCAACCAGCTCTTACACAACAAGGAAACTAAGCCAAGATCAATCCATCTTCCTTTTCTTCTTCTACTCTACCACTTTCATTCCATCACTCCATTTTTACACCTCGTCCCCTGAGCCAAGGTGGGTTGTTTTCAGGAGAAGCATCAAGGGCCTGGATTACAGGAAGAGGAGAGGGAATTAACGGGGTAAATGGAGTTTGAATGGGGGAGGAAAGGAGGGGGTTTACCAAGGACTCAATTTCCCAGGAAACTCAGCAAAACAAAAACAACACATATTCTCTTTTCCTGGCAGAGTGCTGGGAAGTTAGGGGCCGGCCATGAGSAACTGTTACGCACACTTACTGAGAAATGATTACACAACTGGGCCCCTAAAACACTGAAACTGTGTTGTTTTTTCTGTAACCAAAACTGTTACAATCAAAACAAAGACTGTCAGGTATGGGCTGCCATTTGTAAAGTTACACGGTCAAAAATTTCCAATATTTTTGTTTTATTTAGCCTTTTACAAGAAAAAAAGAACAGATCTATTTTTCAGTATCAGTTTTTCACCATTTGATTCATACATTTATAAATGTCATAGTTTATAAACTAAATATTTAACTTAAAAACTAAATATTTAGTAAACAAGATAATATTTAACTTGTGACTTAAATATTTAGGTTGCTAGCTAAATATTTAAGTTAAATATTTAGATGGCTAGCTAAATATTTAAGTTGCAACCTAAATATATTGGTAGCTACCTAAATATTTAAGTTAAATATTTATATGGCTAGCTAAATATTTAACTTGCTAGCTAAATATTTAACTTGCTAGCCAAATATTTAAGTTGCAACCTAAATATTTAGGTAGCTAGCTAAATATTTAAGTGGCGGGCTGAATATTTAATTTGTTAGCTAAATATTTAGCTCAAAACTAAATATTTAAGTTACAAGTTAAATATTTAGATGGTTAGCTAAATATTTAATTTGCTAGCTAATTATTGAAGTTGCAACCTAAATATTTTGGTAGCTATGTAAATATTTAAGTTGGAACCTAAATATTTAGGTAGCTAGGTAAATATTTAAGTGGCGAGCTAAATATTTAACTTGATAACTAGATATTTAAGTTCCAACCAAAATATTTAGGTAGCTTGTTAGGTTGTTAGAAATGAGCTCTGATAAAAGGCCGGACCTCAAAGGAAGATTTAACCATTTATTATAGTTAAACACAAACTTGACGTTTCTTTGGTTTAGCAGCAGATCCGGGTCAGTCAGTTCTGGACATAGAGAGACAGGATTAGTGGCGGGACAAGACTGGTAAATGAAATAAACTTTAACCAAAGCCACTAACCTGTTCTTCGCTGAATGAGMCCGTGAAGAAACACTGACAGAGTTGCTTTGGTTCCGGAAAGAGGCAGTGACGTCACTGTTTGTTTGTTTTTGGGTGGGATCCAAGAGACTGAGAATGGGTCGTTGGGCAGGCAAGGTTCATACACAAGAATCTGAAGTGCAAATCTGAGTTTGAGGGAGGAGGCAAGATTCTTGTTTCCGTGGGACAGGCGTGGGTCATTTTCCAGGAAGTCCGAAGGAGTGAAGTGCCGTTCAGGGAAGAAAGCAGAGACGTGAGRCAAAAAAACAGAACAAGGTTGTTACCGTGAGAGCAGGTGGCAGGACAAAACCAAGAGGAGCAGAGGCAGGAGTCAAAAAAACCGGTGGACATGAACGAGGTCGAGGACACAGGACAAGAACGAGGCATGGGGACAGAACGCTGGATAATCACAGGCAAGGCTGATGAGAATCTGGCCATGAGCAGAGGTGAGAGGCTGGCTTAAGTAGTGGAGGACGCAGGTGATGTGAATGAGCTGATTGCATGAGATAATGACAGGAGGGACAGAAAACAAGAGCAGGCAGGGACAGACTGTGAAATAATATACATAATCATGACAGAACCCCACTCTTAAGGTCCGGTTCCTGGCGGACCTCTGGATGGACCAGGCTGGGCTGGATGATCCCTATTAAACTTCTTGATGAGATCTTTATCCAGGATGTGACGTGCAGGAACCCAAGGCCTCTCCTCAGGACCYTATCCCTCCCAGTCCACCAGGCATTGGATGCCTCGTCCCCATTGGCGAGACTTCAGAAGGCGATTGACCATAAAGGCAGGCCCACCGTCGATGAATCGGACGGGTGGAGGGGGTCTGGAGGAGGGCACAAATCTGGACTGGATGACTGGTTTGACCCGGGACACATGGAACGTAGGGTGTACTCTCATAGACCCTGGAAGCCTGAGTCTGACTGCCACCGGGTTCACAACTTTGGAAATGGGAAAAGGGCCCACGAACCGAGGTGCCAGTTTACGGCATTCCATCCTCAGTGGCAGGTCTTTTGTGGACAACCACACTCTGTCACCAACTTGATACTGGGGAGCGTGGATCCTCCTTCCGTTGGCAGTTCTGGAAGCAATAAGGGAGGATTTCAAGAGTTTCTTGCGAGCTGCTCTCCATATTCTCTGACATCTTTGGGCTGCCTGATGTGCTGAGGGAACTTGAGCTGCTCGTTCGTTGGCTGTGAACTCCGTTGGATGAAATCAGTAGACTGCGTAGAATGGGGAAAGACCAGTGGCGCCTGCAGGTAAGGTGTTGATTGCTTGTTCCACCAAGGGAAGATATTCCGCCCACTTAGTTGGGTTGTTGTCACAGAGGACCCTTAGGCGGGTCTCCAGCTCCTGATTGGCCCTCTCTGTTTGGCCATCAGTCAGAGGGTGAAAACCTGAAGAAAAACTGATGGTTATATCAAGGTTGGAGCAGAACTCCTTCCAAAAACCAGAAATGAACTGTGGACCTTGGTCAGACACAATGTCCTTAGGTAGACCATGAAGTCTGAAGACCTCCTTGATAAATATCTGACTTAATTCTTTGGCCGAAGGAAGTTTGTCCAGGGCTAAAAGATGCACCATCTTAGAGAAATGATCCACAATGGTGAGGATGACTGTCTTACCCTCAGACTGCAGCAGGCCAGTAACAAAGTCCATAGAGATGTGGGACCAAGGACGTGATGGGATGGGGAGCAGTCTCAGGAGACCCGCCAATGGGTGTCGAGAGAGTTTAGCCAGGGAGCATTGGATACACGACCCAATGTACTGTCTAACGTCTCTTTCCAGGCGACCCCACCAGAACTGAGATCTAACTAACTTGATGGTCTTGGTTATACCCGGATGGCAAAAAAGACGTGATGAATGGCAAAAGTCCAGGACTTTGGCTACTAGGTGATCAGGGACAAAGAGCTTACCATCCAGGCATTCACTGGGTGGTGGATGGTGTAGGAATGTGGAACTCTTTTAATTATATTTTTGTGGTCTGGTAATAATTAGTTCATTATGTGTTTAATGTTAATAAAATAAGTAAATTTGATATAATTGATCTGGGTAATAAACTGTGTAACTTTTAATGTGTGGGCCACTCTGACCAGAATCATGT